ATGGCCCTGGGCCTCTGGGAGCAATGGGGGAGCACTGGTTCTAACAGAGTGTGGGTGGGCAGGAGGGGGAGGCTTCTGGAAGTGGAGACCCTTTGGTAAACACAGTGCTTTAAAAAAGGAGGGCATATTTTGCTCTTACGCTGTACTAAGCAGGTGATGTACATAGAAGCCCAGTGACCAGGATGTGGATGGGATTATCAACCTCATCAGGACCCTTCGCTATTGCCACTGTGTTCCTCCACTCAACTTGCACTGTCCATCCCCAAACAGGGCACCTGGCAGCTGGATGTCCTCAGGACAGAAGGTCATGCATCCTCCTGGGTGGAGGCAGCCCGGGAGGGGATGGATTGAGAATGTAGACTCAGGGCTGGGCTACCTGGGTTCAAATCCCAGCTCCACAATTGTATGACCTTGAGCTTTTATTTTTTCATCTGTTAGTCAAGCGGATATAGAATTATTTCACAGGACCCTTACAAGGGTTCCTCAAAGTAAGACAAAAGTGAACCTTTGTCTCAGTTTTCTGGGAAGATGAAACTAGTCTAGAAATCCAGCTTGTGGTATAATGTGAAATCACGAGTGCTTTTGGCTCTGGAAGAAGTTAGATTTGGGGCATGCCCTCTCTGCGGCTTGGCTATGGTAGACTCAGTTTCCCAAATGGTAAGCAAAGTTTTTATTTGGGTGCATACAGTTTCCTTTGTGGCTACAAGTATTTTTTTTTAAAGAAAACAACCCCTCCTCCACCAGGGAAATAATAAATTATTGTCTGAGTCAGTTTGGGTTCCAGTTCATGTACCTCTTGAGGGGCGAGCAGAAGAGAAGCACAGGAACTGAGGCTGCTTGGGAAGGTCAGCAGTGCAGGACTGTGCCACGTGGTCGCTCTTACTGCCATCCTTTTACAATGATTTCCCTAAATGTCAAAGCGAAGTTTGCAGTACTATTATTAGTTCTCTTACTCATCCTGTGTGTACTCTTCTCTCAGGCATACCCGGGTTAAGCAAGTCTTGTAAATGAAAACCCATACTTACATTACAGATAAATGAGCATTGGAGATTTGTGCCCCTTAAACATATTTTCCTTAGATGCTAACTTCTGGTTTTGTGCATTTTTAATTGTTTCATTTAAACACTCCCCCCCCACCCCCCACCATATTCTAGCAGAGTGCCACTGAAACTGTCCCCTAGGGGGGAACAGCCTCAGGAAGGTGGGGGGGGGGCAGGCACTGGGCCTCCTCCTGGGCAGGAGCATCCAGCCATGGCAGCTGACGCGCCTTCCCTCGGCAGGGTTTGACACCAGCATCCTGCCCATCTGCAAGGACTCCCTGGGCTGGATGTTCAACAAGTTGGACATGAACTATGACCTCCTGCTTGACCACTCAGAGATCAATGCCATCTACCTGGACAAGTACGAGCCCTGTATCAAGCCTCTCTTCAACTCCTGTGACTCCTTCAAGGACGGCAAGCTCTCCAACAACGAGTGGTGCTACTGCTTCCAGAAGCCGGGAGGTAAGGCCGGTGGGGAGGCTGGTGGAGCGCAGGACAGCCAGGCCAGCAGAACCACACCCTGGGGAGGCAGAGATTAGCAGGAAGGAGGACATGGCTAGAGAGTAAAGCCTCCAGTCCATTAAAGGCTCGTTTTTCTTATTTTCTTTCTGTTTTTATCATGTATTTTAGAAAACCCTAGGGCATAATCAGTGAGTCCGTTATTTCAAATTTTCCTTTTGGGAAAAATCTCTTAATTATATTGTGCCTCAGCCTTTTCCTCAGTAAAATGGGTGTGGAAATCTTTGCAACATTAATTGTCAAGATGGCTGTGGGATGTTCCCACTGTCACATGGATTCCTATGTTCCCCTTAGAAAAAACCACGAGTCAGCTTCTGGGATAGTAGGACTTATACTGAGTATCTTAGACAAGGATATTGTGGTTATAAATAAACTCTGGCTAACTGGAGAAATAAAGAAGGCAGGCTTTGAGGAATACGTGGACAGAACACAGGGGCATCTTGTGTAACCGTCAGGAGAGTGAGCCTCACTTGTGCAGACGAGGGACTAGAATGTAGCTCAGGGATCCAGCAGGAGCTTTATTTTTCTGTCTCAGCTTCCTGGGGTGGGGTAGGGGCAGGGGGCAGGTGGGGTGCCCAGGTCTGGTGGTCCACAGCTCTCAGGACCAGCAGAAACTCGCTGCCAATCCCAAACCCAGAGAAGTCTGGTCCAGCTTAGTTCAGGTCCCCAGGATAACATACCATACGCATGGCTGTCCGAACCCACCCCGGGAAAGGGAAGGATGTGAACATTAAGGCATTTAAATTGTCTGGCGCACAGAGGGATTGCCGCGTGGATTCCCGGTCACGGCACATGCTGGGGCTGCAGGCTCCATGACTGGTGTGGGCATGCAGGAGGCAGGTGATAGAAGCTTCTCTCTTGCATCAATGTTCCTCTTCCTCTCTCTAAAAGTCAATGGAAATATTTTTTTAAATTGTGTATGAATCCACAAACAGTACACATACAGCAGAAAATATAAGTAGGCATCACAGAAGAGCACTTAGTGAGAAGTACATACGTGTGTATGTTTATAGAATTACACGACACATTCCTGAAAAACAGAATTATTGGTCAAAAGGCCATGCACATGTTTCAGTTTGAGCAGCTTCCAATTTGCTCTCCAAAGAAGGCAGTTTTTATGCTCATGAAGAAATACACAAAAATACCTCGTTGCCCACGTTCTTTACAAACTGTGTGATCATTCTGGACTCCATCTCCCGTGTTATGGCTTAGGTTGAACCTCTTAATGTTTGCTTGAGACACTCTTCAGTTTCCCCGAAATGCCTCGTATTTTTCTATCGGGTTCTTGTGCTTGTTCGTTTGTTTTTAATAAGAATTATTTCTAAGGATATTGGGACTGTTGTAGTCATACATATTGCAAGTGACTTTTCCCAGCTTCAACTGTATAGCTAGGGAGAAATGTTAGATTTTAAGATAGATTTCCCCATCTTTTATTTTATGGCCTCTTATTTTATTTTATTTTATGCCTTGTCCAAGGCAGCCAGGACTGGAGTCTCACCCCTCCTGTCAGCCACAAAGCTTACATTATTAAGCTTAGAAAGTTGTTTCCCACTTTAAGATAGTATAGCCGCTCTCGTGTGTGTTTCCTTCACCCCCTTTGGGAGTGTGTGTGTGTGTGTGTGTGTGTGTGTGTGTGTGTTGAAATCTTGTATCAGTGTAGATTTTTTTTGTTGCACAGTCAAGTGGGATCCCAGCCCCCACCACCCGTGTCGGAAAACGGGTGTCCAGTGGCTCTCCCGACATTTAATTGACTAACCATCTTTCTCCTTCGGATTTGAAATGCTTCCTCTGTCATAGAAAACTCCTACGTGTATATCCGTCTATTCTGTCCTATTAAGTGAACTGTACATTCGTTAGTTCTAAACTTCAAGTTACAGTTGTCTTACAGTCGTTTTACTATCCAATAGGGCCAACCTCTGCTGCCATTGGTCTTTTCTCAGAATTTTCCTGGATGTTCTCATACATTTGGAGCTTTAGAATCAGTTTATTCAATAAGAAAATGCTTACTGGTTTCTTTTTAGAATCAGGCACAATGATATTAATATAGAGAGAACTGATGGCTGTGGAACTGAACCATTCTGCCCAAGAATAGGTTCTGTCTATGGACCAGGCTGACCACAGGTTCTGTTCTCACCAACATTCTACATCCTTGTGTTTGTTGTTGCCATTGGAAATGAAATCAATTCTTTCTCATTGTGTTGCCTCGCTGGTGGTGTTTTCAGTATTAACTTGTTCTCCGCCACCTTACTAAATTCTCATTGTGGGTAAGTGGTTTTTCTGGTTGGTTTCCTTGGATGTTTCAGCTGTGCCATCATACCATCTGCAAACAGTGCTGATTTTCTGTCTTCCCTCTCAATTTCCATACCTCATTTCTTTCTCTTCTCTAATCACATCTGCTAGTACTTCCCAATTGATGTTAAATAATAGCCATGTTTTTTACTTCAATAGAAATGCTTGCATTGGTTCAGCAGGAAGCTTAGTGACAGATTCGGGCCTGAGTTCCTACGAAGTCACACAGCCTTAGCCAGGGGTCAGGCTTAGCCTGGTGAGCACAGCCTCGGGGCTCAGGCCTCCCCTGGACCTGGCAGGCAGGCTCCCCTCTCGGCAGGACCCACACTGTGGCTGGGTGAGTTGACACAGTAATTTGTGGTAGTTCTTTTCTGTGTGTGTCTCATTTTGTGTGGTTCTACCGTTTTCTTAAATAAGTTGCTTTATTTTTTTGTTAGGTCTCCACCATCTCTGTCCCTGATCCCAACCCAGTTCTGGGGTTTTCATTTTCCTTCCACATTTCATTATTATGAACTTGAGGCTAAATTTTCCCCCCAAAGTTTTTCCTGATGTGTAGACCTTCCATATTGGTATCTGGTATTTCCAATATGGCTAATTTGTAGATAACTCTGCAGTTAAGTATCTCAGTGCCTCTTTGGCCCAAGACAATTGTTAGACATTTTTAAGCTGTCATGTATAGGATTATTTGTTCACTGGTTTTGATTTTATTCTCTTTAATTTTATTGTCAAGTTTGAGTTTTAGACTAAACAAGTCTCATGGGGAATGTATACTTTCAATTATTCCATGTGAAAATATTTGTTTTTTTGTAATACAGAAGCAAAAATGCTAAGCATAAACTTCCTGGAGTTACAGTTTCTTTTCTGATACCTTTTTAAAACATTTTCCCAGCACTGGGTGTAAGTACAGAATAATGGGAACCCATACCAATGGTTTTCCCTTTTACTGGTGGTAGAACCATTTTGCCTGGAATTCTTCACCTTTAAGGGCACGGATTTCCTAGAACGTGTCTCGGTTTCTCTCAGCCCACGTCACCCTGCTGAGCGGTTAAGTCCTGTTGGGTCACCCTCTTCTCGGGAGGACTGGTTGCAGGTGGATGCTGAGCATCGACCCCGGGGCTGCAGACAGAGCCTGTGCTTCTTTCATTGCTCAGTTGTCCTCTTTCTGTCACTTTCATCCTTGATCCTTTGCATCTGTGCATTAACTCTAGCCTTGCAGTCTCCTTTCCGTGGGAACCCCTGACCACGGGGAGAGAAAGAGAGAGAGAGAGAGAGAGAGAGAGAGAGAGAGAGAGAGAACGAGCGAGCTGGGCTTTGGCTTTCACCTGCTCAGCAGCAAACCTGTGTTGTGGCGGCTCTTCACCTGGAGTTTTGTGCTTTCCTCTGTTCCCTGCAGCAGTGTTTTAGCAGGCCTCAGTCTGATTTATTTTTCCTCACTTTTCAATAAGCAGAATTTTTAAAACCACAGGATGGAGCACAATTGGAGGAAGAAGCCTTAGAGTATGAGTCCTGTTTTAAAGGACACTATCGGGATGGTGTGATCTTCCTGCCTTTCTCTCCAGGGCCGTCTTCCCTTGTCCACAGCTGCTGCTCTGCCCTGTCCTGCCTTCCACAGAGAGGAATTTCCATTTGCTAAGCGCCTTTCACGGTTGTTATAAAGATTAAACTAATGAAGATGCAGAGTTCTAGGACATTGTCTGGTACATTCCACGAGTTCAGTAAATGTTCATTATTTATCACAGTAAACACCAAATTTAATCATCACAGATGGAATTTGTTTTACATTTTTTGTTGGTATCTCAAACCCAGAAGTAAACACAATGTATTTTAGAGCCAGTTTCTCTCAGGGAACAAGCAGCAGGCCTGGTGGCACTGGGAGACCCGCAGGGGACAGATGTGGCAGGTGCTGTTCAGGCCCGGCACCTGCCCTAGAGGCAGTCCAGGTCCCTGGGATTACAGCGCCTCTGTCTGTGCTCAGAGACCCAGGCGGGCCAGCAGGGCCTCCCAGAGGCACAGGACCTGCACAGGTGAGTCCTGGGAAGGTCTTAAGATCCAAGGAGGTCACCTTTCTTTGGGCTTGAGTGGAAGAAGCTTCTCTAGGGAGTAAGAGATTGTGACACCTTTTTATATGCCCTGCTTAGCCGTGTGGTTCTCTCATGGAGAACTGAGGGTTCTGTGCTCGTTCATAACAGCCTGTTTTATAATTGAGGCTCGGAGACTGAGACACATGCCCAAAGCTCTCAGCTGAAAGTTATGCTGCTGGCCGAGACCGGTTTGGCTCAATGGGTAGAGCGTCGGCTTGGGGACTGAAGGGACCCGGGTTCGATTCCGGTCAAGGGCATGTACCTTGATTGCGGGCACATCCCCAGTAGGGGGTGTGCAAGAGGCAGCTGATCGATGACTCTCTCTCATCGATGTTTCTAGCTATCTCCTCCCTTCCTCTCTGTACAAAATCAATAAAATATATTAAAAAAAAATGAAAGTTATGCTGCTGTCTCTCTGGATGGCTTGTGCGAGGCCTGTTGTACTCTCCTGGGTAGAAAGCCATGAGGCCCCGTCTACCCCGCTTCCTCTCCACAGCAGAACCCAGTGTGGGCTCCGTGTCTGTCCCTTTCCCTCTGGTTAGCTGGTCTGTAGATTCTGAACACATACCCACTAGGAAGCATCGGTCCTCAGCTCATTATTTACTTCCCTATAGAAAGCTTGTTAGCAAATCAACTTTTAGTCACCTGGTGATGGCAGTGGGAAGAAAATTCCCATACAAGGAGCCCCCAAGTACTATTTTAAGTACCTGGTGGTGTGAGTTTTGTCCTTTTAATTAGTAACACTCTCGCCTGAATTTGTTTTGCTGCGTAGTAATAGCAGGTGCAGTAACCCACTCCCAGGGGTGCTGCTGTCTGCGTTTCCTGTCAGGAGGGAGGCCAGTGGCTAGGTATGATCCCTGACTTCCATATCCTCCATTGCAGGTCTCCCTTGCCAGAATGAAGTGAGCAGGATCCAGAAGCTGAGCAAGGGGAAAAGCCTGCTGGGTAAGTACAGTTTCTTGCCACTCATTTCAATAACCAATGGAAGCAACATGTCTCTTGCAGTGATACTGAGCACAGCAATGGTTATTCAGTTAGGGAATGCCTCACTTTACCCCATGCAGGTCTCCCCCAGGAAGCTGGTCCTAGGCCACATTCAGCAGGGCCCGGCATGAGGGCCGGTGAGTTGGCTGAAAACTAGCGAGAGGAGAGGCCAGGCTGGTGGGCAAGGCAGCCAGGACTGGAGTCTCACCCCTCATCTTGGGCTCCAGCGAATCTCTGCTTTTTCTTTTAAGCACAGCCATTGAAGGGAGCTCTCGGGTGTTCCTTCCAGCTCTAAAATGATAGAACTTCCTGTATTCCCAGCTCAAGCTGCCCTCAGGGAGGAGATGAGCCATCCTCCCTCGTAGGACTATCAGATAGGACTCACGGACGTGAGTGGGCGTGAGCATATTTCTTTCCATGCTCGCGTGATCCCTCGAAAAGAAGTGTAAGGTGCCTGGCCCGGACAGCACACATTTCTTCTCCTTCCTTTGTCCGAATGATGAGGTGGAAGCAGGTAGGTTGTGTGATTTCCCAGACGTGCAGCTCTGGCCGAGGTGGGGGAGGAAGAGCTGGCCTGAGGGAGCACATGCTCCCTCTAGCTCCACGCCAGCCCTGAAAGGTGGGTACAACTCATTGTTGGAAAAAAGGAGTAAGCATTTGCTTTCCTTTTTTAAAAACCATCTGACCAGCTGCAGCAATAACTCAGGATTATTCTTATGAGGCTTTCAGGGCAGCGCGTTCCCTAGGCAGCTTGCCGTTGCAGAGGTTTATTTGCCTGATGGAAATGGGCAGGTTTTTCACAGATTGTCAGGGAGGCTCGCTGTGGACTCTGGCTGTTTCCACCTCCTGACACCTCAGAGTACGCACTCCTCCCTTCCCCTTTTGAAAGTTACTTATTTCACTGCTTGCCTCAAACTCTGCACACCTGACACTCCGGAGTTGGGAACTTGACCTGTCTGGTCCCAGGCTCTTCCCCCATGTGAGCACAGGAAGCCTCTCTCAACCCGAAGGCCGAGTGGAGAAACCCCCTCCCCCACGGTCTTCCCGTGGGACCTGTGCTTCCTGACCTGATTCCTCCACGCGGGAGGCCACTTGGGTCTGAGTGATGTGCCCAATACCCACAGGTACTTACGGAGCGAGTATAATGCTATTTTTAAAGTAGTTGTTTCCATTGGGTGTGATATCTCCTTACTGCTTCATTAATTCATAACGCACGAGACATAAGACGTGGTCTGAGATAGCATGTTACATCTCCCATTATCTGAGCTCATCTACTTGAAATGCCTCCTTCTCTCCAGATATGAGTCCACCTAGTTTCTAGGCTTACTCCCTATCACATTGCTATCACATGGCAACGAGTCTGGCTGACGCATAGAAATACTGTTTACCTGCTTACAGATTATTTTTCTCATGGTGAAATCTTCTAATATAATACATTATTTTTAAAAATTGAAATACCCTTGAATACAGACAAAACAAGCAACAGCAAATCCTAATCCATTACAATTACTGCCATTACAATCCATTACAATGACTGCCATTACAATCCATTATCATTACTTAAAAGAGTGGTCATCCTGTCACATTACAGGCATAGAGCAGCACCTGCTTCCTGCCCACCTGCGGGCTCAGCCTGGTGCTGTCTTGTTGGTTTGTTAGTCACCTGTTCTCCAACTGCAGCTCAAAGAGCAACCACGTTCTCCAGCTCTCTGCTTGTTCTCCCTTGCAGGTCCTATTTGAGCCTCTGTGCATGAATCTGCATTTTGGTAACTGAAAGCATCTATTTTTACTTCCTCCCTGAAGACTTGGGGTGCCGAGAGAGTCCCTATGTTGGAGTGTGGGCACTGCCTGTCTCACTGCAGCATCAGCAGGCTTGCCTGTCACGTAGGGATGGCTTTCTGCCCATCCGTGATGCCGAGGAGCCTGCTGCAGGAGTGATTACAGTAGTCCCTCCTGTCAGCTGGATCGGGGCTCAAACCCAGGTTCATGTAGTAAAAATCTCTCCCTCCCTGGCCACACTTCATTTTGGGGTCTATACCATCAAGTACGAGGTAAATTAAAAAAGGTACTTAGTCTAAAAAATCAGAAATAAAACTGGGAGTAGGACACCACAATAGCAAGCTGAAGCCTGTCTTCACAGGTTTGACGCAGACAGTCCACTCGCTCAGGAGAAGCCCCATAAAAGATGAGCAGTCATCAGAAAGGCACCCCAAGAAAAACCAAAACTAAACCAGCCATAAGGATTATCTGCAGCTCAATGAGAATCAGCTTAGCAATACTGACTGAAGAAATCATATCTCCGAGTGCTGAGAGGAAACACTTGCAACCTGGAAAGCCAACTGAGCATGCTCCAGTGTGATGACAGTGATGTGCCAGTCCCAGGCACACTGAATCTCACTTGGATGCTTTGCTCTGCAGAAGATAAAAATAATCCCAGAGGAATTAACTGTGACAAAGACTTGCAGCTAAATCTACATGTACATGCTATAACATTTTTTTATAGCAAGCTAAATGTAAGATTTCAGAGTGTTGGTGGCAGTGAGAAAAAGTGGTAAAAATGTTAAATTTGATTTGTTCAGGAAGAAAACAAAACATAGATTAACTTAGATCTTATCTATACTAGTAAAAGGGTAACATGCTAATTAGACCGGGTCAACTGGATATCTTCCAGTCATCCTTCCAGACAAAGCCAGGGTGCCAAGGCAGAGGTGGTTGGGGCCAATCAGGCCAGCAGGGGAGCAGTTAGGAGTGATCAGGAAGAGTGGTTAGGGACTATCAGCCAAGCTGGCAGGTGAGCAGTTAGGAGCCAGAGGTCCCAGATTGGAGAGGGTGCAGGCCGGGCTGAGGGAAACCCCTGCATGAATTTCTGCACTAGGCCTCTAGTAAGTAAAAATATGTCTCTCTGGGAAATTTAAGGCTAATAAAATATAGAAGAAAATAAATATAATCATTTGAACACCAAGCAGAAAATGGAAAATAAGAAAAATAGAAAACACAAAATAGAGAGGTAGAAATAAGAGCAAACCTACCTGTAATAACAATATATATATATAAATGGACCTAACTGAGACTATTGATTTGCATTTTTGAAAAGAGTTCCATATAAAACACAAACTTGAAATTAAGATAATAAAGACTCATTGTTATAACATTGTTAAAATTGGACAGAAACAACCACTTTGTTTGGAATTCCAAAAATACAGTATCATCTTGCTGAAATGTACCTTTTACTATGTGACATTATCAATTGGTATACCCATGACTAAAATAAAACTGCAAAGAGGAATTGCCATATTTATAAATAGAAACTTTAAATACAGTTCTCTCCTTAAAACCTACAGTTCAAGTAGGTAGAGAGAAAAATTGCATAACATGATTAATTAGCATTTACATACATATATTCCTTTACATCAGCATAGAAATTAGTGTTTTCAAACACACATGAAATATTTGCCACAGATTATGCCAAAAAAGAAAACCAATCTCAAAGACAATCACAGACCAAATTCACTTGCCACAAACCAATAAAAGTGGAAGTCAAAAATGAGATTGTTAAAACCCCATATATCTGGGTTTTAAAAATAAGTAAATACTCAAAGATGAAATATAGTATAAACTACAAAACATTTAGAACTGACTGAAAGGAAAGGCACTGTGTACAAAAATTGGAGGGAGGCAATCACAGTGAAACTTAAGAGGAACATTCACAGCTTCAAATGCATTTATAAAAAACACAACTAACAAAATCAGGAAGCTTTAGGAACACCACAATAAGCTGAGATGATTACAACTAAAGCAGAAACAATGACATAGACCAATTGTTGCCAATATGAAAGCTCAAATGCTACTGTGAATTTAGAGGTGGGATGTAACCTCAGATACAGGAGAATACTCAAACTTGCCATTCCCAAACTTCCGTGTGTATCAGAATCATACGGAGGGTTAAGTAAGTCACCATTTCAAACACAGTGGGTCTGGGATTGGGCCCAATAATCTCCTTTCTGACACATTTCCAGGTAGTGTTGTAGCTGCTGGTCCTATGTGAACACTTTGAGAGCCACTGCTATCAACCAATTATTAACAATGATGAAAACCTACTTTAAATAGACAATGTGATGACCATATCTGAGACACAAAGAACCAGGAGACGACATGGATTAAACAAACCATGAAATTAATTTAAATCAAAATGCTACTCATTACCCCAATATGCACCAGGTCCAAAATATTTTTATGGAAGAGGTCATTCTCACTTTATATAAAATGTCTAGAGTGTGGAAAAAGAGAAAAATGCCCTAATTTCATGAATTCATTAGTTTGATACAGAAATAGCGGGGGTGGGAGGGGGAATATATGCCTCTATCACACACTAACAACAAATTATCTGAAAAAAAGTAATAAAATTATCCCACTTACAATAACATAAAAAAAGAAAATACTTAGGAATAAATTTAACCACGGAGGCGAAAGGGCTCTATACTAAAATCCATGAGATATTAATCAAAGAAAACAAAGGCATGGTAAAATCAAAAGGTACCTTATGCTCTTTTTAATAATTAATTAGAAGAATTAATAATACTACCCAAAACCACCTACCTATAGATTCAGTGCCGTCCCTGTCAAGATTCCAATGGCATTTTTTACATTTGTATGGAGCCACAAAACCCCTGACCGCCAAAGCAATCCTGAGGGAAAAAAGAGCAAAGCAACAAGCATCACACTACTGATTTCAAGTTACATTGTAAAGCTATAGTAATCAAAACCAGATGGCATAAAAACACACCCTTAGACCAATGGAACAGAACAGAATCGAGAGCCCAATAATAAACCCGTGCATGTATGGTCAACAAGGTACCCAACACTCCATGGAGAAAAGACAGTCTGTTCAATAAAGGTAGATTTTTACATGTGAAAGAATAAAACTAGTCCCCTATCCTTTACCACTCACAAAAAAATTAACTTAAACTTGATTGAAGACAAATGTAAGACCTGAACCCATGAAATTCTAAAGAAAACAAAGCTCTGCTTCATTAATTCATAACGCACGAGACGTAAGACGTGGTCTGAGATAGCATGTTACATCTCCCATTATCTGAGCTCATCTACTTGAAATGCCTCCTTCTCTCCAGATATGAATCCACCTAGTTTCTAGGCTTACTTCCTATCACATTGCTATCACATGGCAACGAGTCTGGCTGACGCATAGAAATACTGTTTACCTGCTTACAGATTATTTTACTGAGTCTTGGTAATGATTTTTTTTTTGGACAGGACACCTAAAGCACAACATCAAAATAAAAGACTAACATGTGGAACTATATCAAACTAAACTACCTCTGCACAACAAAGCAAACCATCAACAAAGTGAAAAGAATCTATGAATTGAAAATATTTGCAAACCATATATCTGTGAGGGGTTTATATCCAAAATATATTAATATTAGGATCTCATAAAAATCAATAGCAAAAATCACATCATCATTTAATTAAAAAATGGCAAAGGACCTGAATAGTTACTTTTGCACAGAAGATATACAAATGTCCTATAGGTTCATGAAAATGTGTTCAACTTCACTGATCATTAGGGAAATGCAAATCAGATCCACTTCATGCCCATTAGGATGGCTATCATAAAAATAACAAATGCTGGGGAAGATATAGAGAAAGGGGAACCCTTGTACACTATTCGTGGGATTGTAAATTGGTGCAGCATATGGAAAACAGTATGGAGGGTTCTAAAAAAAATTAAAAATACAGCTATTATATGATCTGGCAATTTCATTTTGGAATATTATTCAAAGAAAACAAAAACATCAACACATAAAAATATATGCACCCCTATATTCACTGTAGCATTATTTACACCCAGAGGTCTGGTGCACAAAGTCTGTGCACTCAGAGGGGTCCCTCAGCCTGGCCTGCACCCTTTCGCAGTCTGGAAGCTCTCAGGATATCCGACTGATGGCTTAGGGCTGCTCCCCGCATGGCTGCAGAGGCAGAAGAGGCTCCCACCACCACTGCTGCACTCGCCAGCCTTGAGCCCAGCTCGGGGCTTCTGGCTGAGAGGCGCTTCCCCTGTGGGAGCTCACTGACCACCAGGGGGCAGCTCCTGTGCTGAGCATCTGCCCCTGGTGGTCAGTGCATGTCATAGTGACCGGTTCTTCTGCTGTTCAGGTGATTTGCATATTAGCCTTTTAATATACAAGATAGCCAAGACAAGGAAACAACCCAAGAGTCCATTGATGGATGAATGGATAAAGTAGTTGTGGAATATACAGCCAATGGAATATTATTCAGCCATAAAAACAAAGGCAATCCTGCCAACTGCGACAACATGGATGGACCTTGTGGACATTATGCTAAGTGGAACAATCAGAGGAAGACAAAAACTGTATAGTCTCATTTATAAAAATGAACAAACAAAAATAATTCCTAGAAAAAGGGAGTAGATAGGCCCTTTTTCTAGGAATTATTTTTGTTTAATAATAATTAACCAGGAGAAGCAGGGTGCCAACAAATACACATTTCCAGTCATAGTATTAGGGGTACAATGTACAACATGATGCCTATCGTTAGCACTGCTGTGAGGTATGATCTAAATTGTTAAGTGAGTACGTTCTAGGAGTTCTCATCACAAGGAAATCTTCTTTTCCTTTTTTTGTATCAATATGAGATGATAGATATTAACTAAACTAATTTGGTAACCATTTCACAGTGTAAATCAAGTCATTATGCTGTGCACCTAACACCTGATGCAGTGCTGTATTATAGTAGCTCAATAAATATGGGGAAAAACATTAAAAGTTATTCATATGGATAGTATTTGCTTCCTATCTATCCTTGAGCGAATCTCAGGGCCCTGTAATCTTGACTAAGTAACAACCAGCCACCCTTGATATTCCAAAGTAACTAAGTAACAACCAGCAAGTACCACGCCTGCCACGCGAGCCCTCTGCTGAGTCTCAGAGGGCAGTACCCATGAGTGTGTCTCCTTCTCTGCTTCCCCCAGGAGCATTCATACCCCACTGTAACGAGGAGGGCTACTACAAAGCCACGCAGTGCCACGGCAGCACGGGCCAGTGCTGGTGCGTAGACAAGTACGGGAACGAGCTGGCGGGCTCCAGGAAGCAGGGCGCTGTGAGCTGTGGTGAGTATCGGCCCTCGGTGATCCCTGGTACCCATAGGTCCTTGCTGTGTTAGGATCTGAGTAAAAACATTTCAACAGGTGACTTGTCTACAGTGAGTGCCTTACCCCTGAAGTTAGCCTCAGCTGGGAAATGAACGAGCTTGATGTAGCGAACCCCTTAGGCCCAATCAACATGAGTATAGTCAGGACCTTGATGTAGGCCCGGCAGCGTTTCCCAAACTTTTGACATATGTGTACCCCTTCTATAATTTTCGTAACACTGAGTACCCCTCGTACTCATGAGAACGTAGAATTAGGCGCAGCTAAGCACGGTGCAGTGCATATCCTCACCAAACTCCGGTGCAATGCGTACCCCCGCCAAACTCTTCCCTTACCCCTGCGGGTACCTACGCGTACTACACTTTGGGAAACACTGCTGTAGGGAGACAGAACCTCCTTGAAACTGCATGAGATTGTGCAGAGCCTGTTTTTTGAGCGGCCGGTACTCCCTGTGGCCACTGGACTGGAGAGTAGTTTCTGACAGTCAGGACCTGTTGCCTTCACTTCTCAATTAGCATCTCGGGAGTTCTGGGCTCCCCCAGAGCAAAGCCGGGGTCTGTGCTGTGCAGATTGGCCCCCGCTGGGCAGGGACGCGCCACGTTGGGAAGTGCAGTGCCTGGGTTAGCCCTGCAGAGAAGTCGGGTGCAGGGGCCCCGACGGGGTCATGAGTTCAGCAGAAACTCACCTCAGCCTCTCCCCCTCCGCGTGGCCAGAAGAGGAGCAGGAGACCTCCGGGGACTTCGGCAGCGGCGGCTCCGTGGTGCTGCTGGACGACCTGGAGGATGCGCGGGAGCCGGGGCCCAAGGACCAGCTGGGGAGGCTGCGGGCGCACACCCGGGCGACCGAGGACGATGAGGACGAGGACGACGACAAGGAGGACGAGGTCGGCTACATATGGTAGTGCCCGCGGGGAGAGGGCACGGCCCACGGCCGGCACAGACTGCAAGCCCCTTCCCGTCCCGCATCTGCATCTCAGACTCCGCGCACCGCGGCCTCTCCTCCCTGCTGCTCTCTGGCGGGCCTGCCATCGGACGACCCCTGTTCCCAGAGCTTCCCGATTGTGCACGGGCTGTGTGGGGAGGAAGGTGTGGTTTGGTGTTTAGACGGGACTGGCTGCCGAAGGAGAGCCTGCTCCCCTCCCATGAGGCTTGTCCAGTGAGCATGTGGTGGACGTGGGGTCTGACGGTGCAGGGAGCCCCGCCCTCTCAACATCAAAGCCCCTTTCCGCTCCCCACTCCAGTGGTTGTAAGCATGGTTCCCGCCTCACGGTGTCTAAGTGCTTTTCTTCCGTCTCGTGGATGTCGTGGGAAACACATCCTTCCTTCCCCGCGCCCGCCACCCCTGGTGTGTGTTGTTAAAAATTAGTTACTCCCCTCACTGTATCTGGCTTCCTACAAACAACGGCCTTAATTCAGTCAAGAATCCTTTTGGGAAACTGGTTTTCTTTATTAAGAATGGTCTCTGGACGCTTCTCTGTGTTATGTGTAAATATGTACACATATACAGAGAGACCATGTGTGTAAGCCAGGTTCACACCGGCTCAGAAAACAATTACAGCTTGTCCAACCCGGATCACAATTCTGGAACAAAGTGTCCCCAGGTCCGTTTTTGCACTAACACTTGGCACTGGTAGCTGCAGGCGGAGGAGGGGCCCTCCCGGAGCCTCTCTGACTCGGATGGGCCTCTGTCTGCCGAAATCACCTGTCCTGCCCAAACCATGCACCCCGCGTTGGCCGCTTCACAAGCCTTTCCTCTCATTCCACCCGAAGCCCCGGGCGCAGCATCCTGTCTGCCCAGGGGCCCGCCTCCCCTGCCTACCAAGGGCTTCTCGAAGGCATGGCCACTTGCCCCTGCTCACCAAGAGACAGTACACGTATTTCTTAGAAGAAAAATCAGGATTCTGAACTCCAGGTTTAGCGTTTGCCCCCAATTCCATCCACAAATCATGGTGAGACACACAAGCAGTACAGGATTCCGCCCCCCCCCCCCCCAGAGGCCTAGAAAGAGCTTCAGAGTGGCACATGGAAGCGAGGGTTGGACTTTCAGAGTCAGTCCTGTCTCCACACCCTCACCCACATCAGCGTCAAGGTCCGAATGAAGAAAGCCCTTCGCCATTTGTGCTTCTTTCCCTCAGAAACATTTGGTGGGGTCGTCACTGCCCCCGACTCCAGGATGAGTACCAAAGAGCAGTCTTCAGCGTGGCCCCTGCCGTTCAGTGCAGGCCCTGCTGCGCCTGGCCACCTGGGTGCCCCACCAGCCACCCGGCAAGGCTCTCTGCCCCACATTGGTTTTTCTTCCTGTCCCTGTAAGCTCCAGCTAGTCCACAAAAAGACGTAAACTCAGGCAAAAAAAAAAAAAAAAAAAAAAAGAATGGATTCAGCCAAACCATGATCGCAGTGGCAGCTGACCAACTGTCCACCCCAAAATGCCCATTTCTCTGTACTTTCCCCACTCACCTCAGCTAGCCTTTTCCAACCTGGACAAAGTGGCTTTAGTCTCAGATGGGAAATGAACAAGCCTGATGTAGCGAATCCCTTAGGCCCCACAGACGCAAGGGTAGCCAGGACCCTAGATCCCAGACGTAGGGAGGTCACTGGTAAGCTCGGTATTCAGATCGCAACTCCCTCACCTCCCTGTTAATGTTCTTTTCCTAGCTTGCACAAAACTTTGAGGTCATCGTCTAGAAAACAGGTGCTTCATTGCAGCTAAATTACAAGAGAGTATATAAAAAAAGACATTAATAAAAAAATCTCAGTGTAGGCCCTCAAAGAAAACCATTGTCACCGTCTCCTCCGAGCTTGGGACAGTGCACGAGAGGATAAATTAAAATCAACAAATTGATTTCCCTTAGCAAAACTAATTATCTTATGACAAGTGTCAGATTAAAGACACTTAAAGCTCCTTGACATTAGCTTAATGATGGAGAAGAGTGCTCAGGAGTCGGTTCCCAGGAAGTGCTGAGATGCTCCTTTTCAGAGGCATTCCAAGAAGATATTTGGCTCATTAAAATATAAAATAAGAAGCCCTCCCGCCAGGAGAACCCCAGGACAGCAGAGCCCCATTAGCCACTTCTTGTGCCTCACACTGGCATGGCAGCACTAGATTCTTTAAAATATTTAATGATTTCCATTTGTGAACATTACTAAAGATTAGATTCTTTTAGTTATGTTGGCCTTAGAAGGAGAATTGTTGCTTCCTTTCTCTGGCAGGAGTCCTTTAGGTAGTGACAAGGTATCCATAAAAATTATTATGAAAATACTTCTGTGATCATCTAGTCCCTTGTCTGAGACGGGCATTGATTCCTCGCTCATTTTTGGAAGCTTCTTTGCTAATAATTTTCGTATTTCATAAAGACTTCTTTCCTTAGCATCCAACTTAAATCCTAGAATTTCCTCCCACCATGCTTAGGTGTCCGCCACATCGATGTCTTTTTGTTTCCACGGATATTCTAGGCGTGGAAACCACGTCATGTGGAATATGAGGTTTTGGATCGGTGTCCCCTCTGTAGGCACTTTCCCCAGGCCCAGCAGGGAATGACGATGCCTTGCCCAGATCTGCCCTCTGCCTCGCCCAGGATTCCATTCTTTTGTTTTCACCTTGGCCACACTGTACAGTAACATCCCAAAGCCCTTTCTGCAGTGGGTGGTTCGGGTCTTTTTATACCTTTTTCTCAATGTCGCTGATGTGTGTCCCTGTTCCGTGTGTAGCATTTGTCACGAGAGCCACCAAATCCCAAGTGTCAGTTTGCTGTCCCTCTTGTAGATGGAATAGTGATGTAGACAACTAGTAAATTCTGAATGCTTTTTGACGTAGACTTATCTGGAATGTGAACATGACTCTTTGGTTAATAGTAACTGCTTTACTGTAGTCCCGAGTAGGTGCATTTCTGTCTGTCTCAGTAAATTTTAATTTGTCTGCAACATCTGCCTGTGTGTGCTCTGTTAGCTTGGATGTGGACTCGCAGCGTGTCCACATGGGAACTCTGGGAAGTGTGGGCAGACGGGAGAGCCAACGCGGGCTCCTCTGTCCCAGCTTCTGGACAGGAAGGGAGGAGGACCTGCTGGTGGTCCTACCTGGACTGCCCCTCTCAGCACACCTGGCACCTCCAGCCCTGGCACTCAATCTAAACCAGCGGTCGCCCACCGGTGGTCCCCGCACTGGTGGTCTGTGAGGTCCGAAAGGTTGGCGACTGCTGGTCTACATCTCCTGTCCCTCCTTCTTGCTGCTTTCACTTCTCTTGGGTTTCAACTTTGCTACTTAGTCCTTACCTATCACATTTCACTGTTGTTTTCCTGCTTATGACTTTAAACTTTTTCTGCCTACTCCTTCCCTCCTCTGTCATTCTCCAGTTCTCCAAACAAACAAACGAAAACTCTTTCCTTTCCAGGCACACTGAGCTCTGAGTTCTCCTGAGTTCATGGATTAACACGAGATGCTTGTCAAAGCACCCAGGTGGAACGGAATTCTTTCCTCTCCACCTTTATGCATTATTAAGGCCAGTGTGTCTATGACTTAAACAAAGACCCAGTGCACGAAATTCATGCACATGTGGGGTCTGACTGGCCTGGCCCCAATTGGGGCTGATCTGGGCCGGGCCAGCTGGGAAGAGGGGACACAGGAGGTTGGCTAGCCCTGCCACCTGGTTGAACTCCCAGTCGAGGGGACAATTCGCATATTAGGCTTTTATTATATAGGATTATACTCTGAGTGAGAAATTCCACCACAGGCTAAGGTACAGACTACCTTATAAATGATTCAATTCCTTTATCCCTTGGACTGGGTCGCACAGACAATTCACAGAAAGACCATTCATGGAAAGGTGCTCGGTAGACCTGCTGGTTAACTAATACCAGGGGAATGGTGGCCGCTCTGAAGCTCTGGTATGGCTGCCCGTGCACTGAAAAGAAGCCAGCTCTTGCGGACACACCCACAGTCCTCCCAGCACAGCGGGGACAGCTGAGCCCCCGTGGTGCCACCGAGGCCTGTTCAAGGCAGTTCTCCCATTTCAGCTAATACCCTGCGGGCAAAAGGTCACAGCGCCTTCCCACAATTCCTAGCTTGTAAGATTTTCTTTGACAAACTGGTTCAAGGAAAGAGGCAGGTTGCAAAATGTATTCATTCAACAAACTTTATAGATTTCATTAGATGTTGGATGGACAAATGTCACTATGGGCAGGACCCCATTCAGTTCTAGGAATATAAATGTGAATAAACCCCGGTGCCTGCTCTGTGGCATTATCTCCTGGAAAGCAATAGACAAACAGATGACTGGGGGACAATATAGGTTGGTGGGTATCACATTGACCCAAAGGCACCTGCGTCTTCTTACAGCTTGTCTTCCTTGGTGCCTTTCCCCCTCATTCCCTGGCTTTCCTCCTCCTTCTTGATCCCTCCTTCCAGGCCTCATGCTAATGTCAGTGGCCCTTGCCCACCTCCCTTCACGTGCTTTCTTCCTGACAGTCTCCTCTGTGCCATTAGTTCACCCTCCTCCTCCCCTCTGGAGACCCCCGATCTCTATCTCAAGTTTGGTTTTGACTTCCACTCCATTCTGAAGCACTCACCTGCCATTTACATAATTCTACTCAAATTTCCCACTGGCACCTCAATTTCAAACCTTAAAAAATAGTAATGACAGAGTGGAACATGGAGTGGCTGTGCCTATGACAATGGGAGTCAGCAAGGCTTTTCTTAACCAAACCTTAGCAAACACTAATGCATTTCCTTCCATCAAAATTAATATCACACCATAAACAAACTTAAAAGACAAACAAGAAACTAAAGAAGGTATCGGTGACAAAAATGTAAAGGGTTGGCTATAAAAAAAAATTAACTCTTACAAATCCAAAAGAAAAATATAGTCCAACAGAATGGGGAAAAGATAAAAACAAGTGATTCAGTGCC